TCATCTAATCGTGCTTAAGCAGAAGTAATCATTGTAGTGTATAGGCCTCTGTCTCTCCCGCTCCCTGATCCAAATTGGTGCTCTCTATAAGTAGCTCTGGAGATTAAAAGAGAGTGAAATATTATTAGCTGACACATTAATTCTTATGCCAGTACCTTTCAAGATTTGAATTTGTATGTTTAATGCTCAATAATTTCTTCAGACCATCCAACCATTAATAAGAGGCTTAATTATTATCTGGTATATAAGAATTATGCACATATGTTAGTAGATAAAGAACAGGGGATCCCAGGCAGATTTTACACACAGCTTTGTGTGTGTAGTTTTGCACAAACTAGTGTACATGTAACAAGAATGGATTTTTCCTCCTCCTTTTAACATATCTACACTCTTAATCACATAGATTAGAAGTTCTGGGGTGAAATCCTGGTGGATGATTAGAGAAATTTAACAAAAATTGGACAAAGTAACTGTAGTGAACAGTCCTTCATTGATGGCAGCGGGAGTTGGGGGAGATTACACTAGATTACCTAAAATGTCTCCATAGTCTTTCTCTCTATAATTCTGTCCCAGAAAACATTAGAGGCAGCATATACTTATTAGGTGTCCAAATGTCTTTTAAGAATGCAGTAAAATCAAGATGAGAAAAACTTCTATCAGGACAAAGCAAAGCGTGCATTTAAAAAAAGGTGCATGCAAATTACTTTAATCAGTAGCCAAAAGTGTATAAATGCTCATACCTGACATATATGCTTTTTCTATACACAAGGCTTTACATAAGAAAATTCACATGCCCTAAATTACTTTCTGTGAAGACATATTGTATGGTGTTTTGCACTATGTTTGGCAAAAACTATTTTGAAGTATGGAGTCACTATGGTAACCACTTTTGAGCTCAGAATCATAAAGCAGTTGTGATCACTATCAAAAATTTATGTTTTCTAGCAAGATTGGTTTTGTATTGTAACTCATTTTAGGATGCATGTATAAGCCACGTTTCACTGGCCAGAAGGGCTTGACAGTAATTAAGTGATAAAACAGCCTGAGGCAGTGTATCCAGGAAGGATTATTGCACATCTTGAACATATTGTCAGAAATGATGCCTGTTAACTTCAGCCCACCCAAGAAGGTCCATAATCTCCAAGAAACTGCCTGGAATGCCCTTATCCTATTATGAAAGGGAAATAGTAAGATAAATAAGGCCTACAGATAATTCTAATTTTGACTCAATTGGCTGAACATCCCTAGCACTATATTGCATACAGGAAGATCCACATTCACCATTTTAAACAGGTGTAATTCCAGTAAAGTCAATGGAGCAGCATTTACTTACACCAGCAATTAATTTGCCATGTGGTGTTTGTTGCTGTTTGTTTTAATTAATTTTTAAAATCCATTTACCTCACACAAAACATATGGATTCCTGAAAGAGCACTTAAATACATAAAGATCTATCATATATCAATATTTTAAACTAAAAGTCCGCTAGCACTAATTATTAACACGTACTTTGATGGACATTATTGGAGATTTTTCATCAGCTCAGGTAGAACAGCTCTTTGAAAAACCTTGCTCCCCTCTTCTGTCTTGGGCACCAATACCCATCAGTTCAATTGCTAGAAAGGTCAGGTTCCTTTATGGAAACTAGTACGGGCAGTTGTGATATAATGGAAATTTACAAATGGAGTACAATAGCAGAGTTTGGCTTTGTAAATTATTGCATGGTTAAAAATGCATATTACTCAAAATGATCCTGATCTTACTGTCTTTGAAATCAATTGCAAAATTCTCATGGACTTTAGTGAGCAAAATTAGACTTGTGGTTGTGTGAAAAGATACTCCACTTAGCATTAATGGGTGTTTCCCACATGTATCCCTTATGCAGGGAAAAGACCCTCTGTTAATACTCACCATTTCTAAGTCAATAATATGGTAGTTGCCTTATCACTTTCTTTGTGGTTTGATTCTATTCAAAGGCAAAACAGCCAGTTCCTTCACCGAAGTTCTGGAAATCTTTCCTGGTGTTTTTCTATCTTTACATTAGAGCCTAATCATCTTTCAGCTAGAGCAGGATTAGAGCAAAGTTTCTTCTGTGTTTATGTAAATAGCAATAGGACTGTTTGCCAAAGTGTTTCATTTTTACTCTTAGAATGAGGGTGGCAGAACAACTGTTTATATTAATAAAAGCTGTTTAGATTTAGTATTTTTCTTCAGTCCATTTCTTTGAAATACAGTTGGGAATCCCCAAAGACAATTGAGTTTTTTCTCTTAGAAATAGGTTTACTGCTCAGTGGCTGTAGTTATTCTGACAAACATTTTTATAGAGAGTTTTTAGTGCTGAGAATGAGGGGGTCTATTCTCCCTTGTGAAAGAAGAATAGACTCTTTCCTGTGCGTAGGTGGCTGCCAGATTAACAGTAATCCATCAGGTTAATGAGCCACAAACTAATAATCTTTTGGATCTGTTCCAGTCAGCAATCGACCCAAATGACTCTTGATGAATGAGAACTTTTAATTAACAAATCACTGACCTACAAGCAAAGGAAACATTTTTAAAGTAGGATGTGACATAGAACATTGTACTCTGATTTGTCAGCAATCTGTATTTTAATCCTTCCCCAGTTCCAGTACACATTCACCAAATCACATGAATAAAATGCTCTAAAATCCCCTATTGCATTTTTGTTTTCTCTGATAAACTCCCACCAAGGAATCTGCCCTGCTAGCATTTAGAACAATTGGTAGCAGTGTAAGTGTGTAGAAAGATTCTGAAAGAGCAGCTCTGCTACCTAAACTATAGGAGACTCTCCATTAGCTGTTAGAAGGCAAGACTGTTGGAGCAGGAGCTCCCAAACATTTTCATCAGATAGTGAACCATAGCTTAATAGAGAGTCTCTTGTGAACACTTCCCTGCTCTGTCTTGATTGGATGGACCACCTCTCATCCACTGCTAGTTAAATAAGACACCTGTGGTAAGCAACGGCTGTAGTGATCATTAGAAAGTTATCTAATGCATTGTTGCTTCTTTTAGTACAACATAACAACTTAAAGGAAATTCAACTTCCAAAGCTAAATTTAAACAAAAAGTTTGACTGTCCTTATGTTTTATAAGGGCAGAAAGCAGAGCTGGGGCCAACACTTAAGCCACCATGATGTTGTTGTCTTAGTTCCTGGCCTGAGTTAAAGTAGGAAGACCTGATTCTCCACTGCCTTGTGTAGACATTCACACCTGTCCAAAATGCTACCCAAATGAGAATGTGCGCACAAGGTACAAAGCAATAGAGAAGTAGGCCCAGAGTATTGGCCCAGCTTTTATACCTGGACTCTGAATGTCTTGGCCCTCATAGCTTTAAGTTGGAGTTTTTTTGTTGGGGTTTTTTGCTGTTAACTATATTTTAAAGAGTAGCAAAAAACAAAAACAAAACAAAACCAAAAAAACTATGGAGCAGGAATAAAACCAGAAAAAGATATCCGAAGAAGTGGGTTGTAGCCCACGAAAGCTTATGCTCTAATAAATTTGTTAGTCTCTAAGGTGCCACAAGTACTCCTGTTCTTTTTGCGGATACAGACTAACACAGCTGCTACTCTGAAATAAAACCAGAGTCAATTTGAATTTTTTTTTCCACTGCATGCTGTTAACTCTTACTGTTTCCATTTGGATAGGGAGAGAATAAGGGAAAAATTGAGAAGTTGCTGTTCCCTTCACCCACCTTAAAATTCTTCCCTGTCTCTAACCTGCAGTAAAAATATTTTAGACCAATTTATATAGAACAGAACCCCCAGGTTCCAACCAACCAACCACCTCCAAACTCAGCTTCTAATTTGCTCCCTGTTGTTTGAGAGTACATTGAGTAATGTTAAGTCCCTTACCAGGAACCAACAGCTATTTACAGCACTGTAGTAAACACACTAGTTGTGCAGCTCTTCCAAAAGAAATTAACTAGAGTCACCCCATCCACTCACACAGAGATGTAATTTTCTGTACAAACCATTGGTGTACAAGTTTTTGTACATCAAGTATCTGTATACAGACAGGTTTAGCTCCAGTAATAACTAACTTGCAGGCATGATTTGAGAATTAATACCCCAGTTCTGCCCAAGTGATACTCATTGGAAGTTTGAGGCACTTTCATTCATGATTGTACAACACTTTGAAAGCACTATAGAAGTGCATATTATTATTAACTGTAATACTATGGGCCTGAGCCTGATCTTACAGTGGTGTAAATTAACTTTATCTGATTATTCCTAATAGAATTATGCTGGTTTTACTCCAATTAAGGTGACCAGATGTCCCTATTTTATAGGGACAGTCCCGATGTTGGGGTCTTTTTCTTATATAGGCTCCTATTAACCCCCACCTCCATCCCGATTTTTCACATTTGTTGTCTGGTCATCCTAACTCCACTGTGAGATCAACACCAGACTCTATGTATCCTTTTTGCATTATTGTACATCTGTAATATGGCAGCTGCCCCTTTATTCATAAACAACAGCTGCTGCATTAATAATACAATATTAGCCCAGTAAACTGCAGCTTGAAAACATCTCTGCATTGCAGGAGAAACATGCTTCATGAGTCCCACTCTGCAATGACAGAGAACTGAGGTCAATGGGAGAGGAAATGAAGGGGACACACAGGCACTGGGGAAATGGGTGCGAGTGTATAAAACAGTAATTTAAGACTACATCAATGTGTGCAAAGCACCCTGGAAAATGAATGAAATAAAAATTCTACTTAACCCACCCCCAGCATTTGGCTGCAGAATACACAATTGGGGTGGTGGAGGAGCTGGTAGTGGGTGCTGCTAATACCTCTACTTGCAGCACATCTGTGTACTCAGATGAATGACAGGGGCTGAGTGTGACTTGTCAGGTGATCAGCATTCCAGCTCTCCCAGGCCCTGGATCTTTTTGACACTGCTGCTGACCAATCATTAGCTAGATCTCTTCCTCTCCTTCCCCCTCCTTGCTCAAGCTTCTCCTCTTTCACATGAGGGACTGGATGAGTCCTGTCCCCGCTCTGCTCCCCACAGAGCCTCTTGGAACAACAGCCAATGAGAGGGGAAAGATCTGGCAGAGTAGAACGCTGCCTTGGGAATGTGAATGGGGTGGGGAGAAGGAGGAGCACGGACAGGTGGGGGAATGAGAAGTGTATATAAATTGCTGCTGCCCTGGCAGCGGGTTGATCCGTGGGAGGGAGGGGTTGGGCGGGGTTGCTAATGAATGGTAGCTGTATACATTAATTGTAGGTTTATAATTGTTTAGGATTTGTGTACTTCCTGTCACTGAAATTGAAAGCAGCTGTTTGAAATATAAATACTGTAATTGAACTTCTGTGAAGTTTTAGCAGGTAAGATGAAATCATGTGGGCTGATTCCACTGATAGGTGAATTAAGTTTGTTCTTAATTAATTTTGCCCCCTTTCAGTAGGAAGAGGGAAGGCTTTCATTTGACACAAGAAAAAAATATTCCAGGGGATGAGTTAGAAACGGCATGGCAGTGCGTCTTGGATTGTGTAACTAAACTCCAAGACTCCTTTTTTCATTTCTTAACAGGCAAGTAAGTGTTCCTTCTTGAGAGTTGCTATGAGTTGAGGCTGCTGCTGTAGTGTCTCTTAATAACTTGTTTTGTTTGTAAGCATGCTACATGTGCTTTCCTTTCAGTAAACCAGAAGGTCGTAAAGATCTGTTGGAGGTTAGAGTGTACTTTAAAATGGTTGCAACTAGCAATTTAAGCAGTAAAAACACTGCATGCATTTCAGAATTGTTGTACCAAGGCTTTCACCACGCAAACATAAGCGGTGAGTATCTTTGACCTTCTCAACCTCTTTCCCCCCCCCCCCTTTAAAAAGTAAGGCTGCAAATGGGAAGGAGGAGTCCATCCCCAAGTGGTGTTATAACTTTTATCATTATGTGTTAGTGCAGGGATGTTTGTAAATGGGGGGGTAACTGAGCAGAGGTTGTGCTCATGAATTGTTACATGACTACAAGTGAGGGGGGGTGGGAACTGATATGTTGTAGAGCTACCTCTGACTAATATTTTAGGGTTACTAAAATGATTTTTATGGCTAAACAGTAGCTGGAAAGATGATCCTAATAAACTTTTCAGAATGAGTGGAAGATCAGATTTTTGCAAGAATTGCAGTGGCTTATCCTGACTCACTATAGGTGGCTATAAATAGACTTGTGAAACAGTTTAACTGTCTCAGCATATAAACCTATTGTATTACTAATGCACTTGCAGTATACTTCACAGCTTTCAGTAGTTTACTAGGATGAGTAAGTTAGTTACTTCCATGTATGTACTAAACAATCTCAGCCCTTGGCAGCCTGCCACACTAAAGACTGATCACATTAGAAAGCGGATGACCAAGTGCAAAGCTGTCACTTCTCCTTTAACCAAACTAACTTCATGTTTTCAAGGGGCTAGCTTTTTTTTATCCTGCAGCGATAAACATTAGTAATGGCTTTGAAGTCCCCTCCCCAGTGGAGAATGACTTCATTAAGTTTATAGTAATACACTTCTCTTGATTATGCTGGTTAACTTTATCATCTGTACTTTGAATTAGTTAAAGTGACCACAGACTGCTGTTGGCAGCACACATAAAATATACATAAGGTAGTGTGGTTTCTTACATGAATGAGAATTAAAACTGACACTGTAGTATGCTCATGCTGGCTTGCTGACTATCACTATTTAATACTTCAGGAAAATTAACAGGTAGGTTTGTTGTCTGCCTCTTTCCTGTTACTGGTATGTTACTATGTGTTTTTCCTCCTCATGTCTTCTCATAATTAATTCCCCTGCAGACTTTGACTACTGGGATTACGTTGTGCCTGAACCCAACCTTACTGAGGTGGTGTTTGAGGAGAGAACCTGTCAGAGTTTAGTTAAAATGTTGGAGAACTGCCTATCCAAATCAAAGCAGACCAAACTTCACTGCTCAAAGGTTCTGATACCAGAAAAACTAACCAAGAAAATAGCTCAAGATGTATTGCGGCTTTCTTCAACTGAGCCCTGTGGTTTGAGAGGCTGCATTATCCATGTCAATTTAGAAATTGGAAATGTATGTAAAAAGCTAGATAAGATTATCTATGACCCCAGTGTTGTTCCTACTTTTGAACTGACACTTGTGTTCAAGCAGGACTGTTGCTCATGGCCCAGTTTCAGGGACTTTTTCTTTACCCGTGCTTGTTTCACATCTGGCAGCAAACGTACTCTGATTCTGAGTCCTGGGTTTCGGCTTATTAAAAAAAAACTTTACTCCTTGATTGGGACAGTCATTGAAGAATGCTAGAAATCTTGTTGCATGTTTAAAACTGTGTCTGATTTTTTAAGAGGTACCTTGCTTTACAGTTTGATTTCATGCACAGCAACCATTGTGCTCTGTATGGGCTATGCAAACACCCCAATGTGTAAGCCTTCAAGTTGGCATAAGATATTCCCAGTGTAGCTAACTGACTGCCTTTACTGGGTGTGCAAAAAAGGTGAGAACAAAGTAACTTTTTACTTGAATCTTATGGTTAACATCTAGTTGACCTGTCCTACAGTCAGCCTAGTAATTGTTACTGGCCATTTTTCTATAGAAAGTTCTTATGCCATGGAAATAACTCTACCAGCATAGGTTTATAGTTCCAAAAGGTTCTTGTTAAAATAGGGTTCAGCTAATTAAATTTAGTGGATGTCAAACTCCCCCTGCCCAAACCAAGAAATGGATCTTGCATCTTAAAAGGTAGCAGGCTGATCAACCTGGTGCACAAGTAAATATTTCACAATTTTTCCTAGGGGTTATGTAGCAAACAGAATTTGCACTGCAATCTCAGCAATGTGCACTTTTAAACTTTTTGAAGTGTTAAGGGGCAAATGACTTGTCAAAACAATAGTCAGTTGTGTTTGAATATTTTTGCTTTTTTAAAAACTGGAAAACAATGCAATTTGGGTAGATGGATTTAAAAGTAAGGTAACTTCTCAAGCAGAAATGCTAAATCATTTTCTTGAAGACACTTGTCTACCTTATACTTAGTTTTGAAAATAGAATATGTCTGCAGGCAGACTTGCCCTCTTTTACTGGGCAGAAAACTGAATCCTACTATTCCCTTGCCATATCCCTTCCTCCAAGTGGAACCAAGAAACACTTTCGTTTGTTCTCTCACTAGCTCCTCTCCAAAGTCTGGAGGATTTTTTTTCTGTTCTGGCATGGTAGCTCAAGCTCTTCAGAGGACACCTCATGGGGGTTTCAGGTCTCCACACCATCATAGTGGCCCACTTTGGTTCTGGAATGGCCTGGCAGTTTCTTCCTTTCATGAGCCTGCCCTCTTCATTTCTCCAAGGTAGCTAAAGTTTAGCTAGTGTTCAACCTGATGCTTGCATTGCTGCTCGAATGTCTTTCCCCGCTTTCCCCCTCATCTTCCCTAGAAACTTCCATTTCAATTTTACACCACTACTGCAGAAAATTAACTAGTTGTCTCCCCATGCTCAAACAAGCTGACTAGTTGGCCTAGATAAAACACAGGAACTTTCAAAAGACCATGAACTGAAATAGTGACGGTCACTGTCTGTAACTGATGCAACATCTTTCAGATCTGGCCGGGGCAGATATTAACACTATGCAATATGGGGGTTAGGGGGTAGAGGCTTGCCTAATCTTTTAGTCTATTTTCCCTGCCATGCTTTTCAGTAACAGTTCTCTGGCTATGTGCCACTCTTCTGAGGGGGGGCGGAGAAAAAGCTGAAAGGTTTACTGTGTCTTGGTTGCTGGCACTTAGGTTTCTCGGAAGATGACTATCAACAGATAATAGAGGGAAACTACCTTGGCAGACGTGTGCCAAGTGTCTTGGCTCCTAGCAGTCATTCTCTTGAAGACTTACCTTGCAAGTACTTAAGCTATATCAACATGTATGAAACACTTCTGGCACTATTTGACACTTACCAAGTGTGTGGTGGAGGAGGGGGAAGTGTGTGTGTTCTCCATCAAGTTGCATATTAGGTATACAATGTAACCGGCTTAGTTGGATTACAGAACTGCACTCTTCTAACATTTGGAAGTTACTGCACCTCACAGCTATTAAGCCTTTGCCTTATCAGAATTGGACCATTGTAAACTGACTTGTTTTGCACTTGTACTGCTTTTAATGTTTTAATGTCAATGCCTTAAACGGTGGTGTCACTTTGTATGGTTGGATCTCTCTGCACTGATGTATAGATGTTGGGTCCCCTCCCCCTGAACTGTTCTTGGGCTTGCCTTTTGAACTTCAAGATAGCAATTACTTACTGGCACTGTTCTTGAAACTGATTCATGTGCAAGAAAATGGGTTTGTCTATCTTGACAATAAAAGCTATATTTTTTACCTTTCAAATGTAGGTTGTCTTTGAGATCATTCTTCTCTCACATTCATCATATGATGGTAGTGCCCAGAAGCCCCCGGCATGGACTGGAACCCTATCATGCTAGGTGCTGCACAGTTCCTGTCCCAAAGAGCTTGTTTTAAAGAATAAAACAAGGAATAGATGGCTAGAGGTAGACAAGGGTGTATAAGGAAACAATGAAAGAATGTCGAAGCTCTGGCCTGACTTTTGTTAAGCGTCTGACTGGGCTGTGCTGCTGCTTTCCTCTAACTGCTACTGTAATCCCCCTTCCTCACAGCAGAGGCCAAAATGGCTACCACTGACCCTCACTGGAAGAACAGCAGGAATGTTGTTTGCCAATAGGAGATCTGCAGTAAGAAGTAACCCTTCATACAAGGATGATGAGCTTCATTAGAAGGGAGGGATGAGAGTCTGAGGGGTTCAGTATTCATTCCTATATGATGTAAAACACTCCCTGTGCTCTTTGCGCATGGCACATATCATGGAATACTCTTTCCAGCTTGGCTTGTGGTGGTGTCCACTACTATAAACATCAAATGCTTTCTTAATAAACTACACCAATCACTATTTATAATGGCTCAAAGGCAAGTGAGGTGGACACATTAAACTTTTATTTGATTCTTTATGCAAGCACTACCTTGAATCTTACTAGAGCCAGTGAGAACTGAAGAAGCCTACCAACTTGTCTAATAAATACTTTGTCTATCATCCACAAATACAGCTCCCATGTATATTCTAGCCATTTGTAGATGACCGGTGCCTTCAGCAAACTACCATGGCAACAGCCACCCTGGTGATAAGTCTCGGTGACAGGAATCGAATAGGCATGGGAATCCTCTGGCTCCTCTAGAGGGGGAGGAGCTAATTCTGGAAGCATTGTCCCTGTTAAGGGGAGAGTCCTCCATCTTTCACAAACATGTGGGTCTTTTGAAAATAGTGGATCCCTCTGTACTAGTTTAGTACAGAGGGATCCATTAGAGCAGGGCTCGGCAACCTTTCAGAAGTGGTGTGCCAAGTCTTCATTATTCTCTCTCAGGTTTTGCGTACCAGTAATACATTTTAACGTTTTTAGAAGGTCTCTTTCTATAAGTCTATAATATATAACTGAACTATTGTTGTATGTAAAGTAAATACATTTTTTTAAATGTTTAAGAAGCCGCCAGGACCCGGGCAGTGTGAGTGCCACTGAAAATCAGCTCGTGTGCCGCCTTCGGCATGTGTGCCATAGGTTGCCTACCCCTGCATTCTAGTATGACTGTAGCACTACTAGATGCAAACTTTTTAAACTCCTTTTATAGGACCTGTTGATTGATAGAGCAGGGCATCTAAACCTGCTATTTTGACTAAATTCCCCTGTGATATACTGATTACCTTTTAAAACTTCCACTGTTAGTGGGAACTACACTATCGCTTCATACTGGGGGAGTCTGTTCATTATTATGTTCTGAAGCAAGTATTCTTTGCTTGCAGTGGTATATGCTGGAGGCTGTATAAGAAATAATTCAGTTAAGCAGACCAAGAACCAGCTTTGTCAATAAGAAATAGATTTTTCCATGACACCTGTTGTCATAGGGAGCTGTTAGGTGCAGATGCTGGACACCTATACTTGTAATATATAGTGCAATTTTTATAATAGTTTATACAACCATCAATAAACATATTTCAGATTTAGCTGCTTCACTAGAGTTTGTCTGACTGCATTATTGCAGATAATCTTGAATGCCCCACTTATTAGGGAGTTAACTTTCTCTTACTGATGTTCAGTGGCATTCCTCTATGCATCCGAAGAAGTGAGGTTTTAACTCACGAAAGCTTATGCCCAAATAAATCTGTTAGTCTTTAAGGTGCCACCAGACTCCTTGTTGTTTTTGTAGATACAGACTAACACGGCTACCCCCTGATAAGTGGCATTCCTGTTTCCTTTTTCTTCTGTCTCCCCCCCCATACCCTAGCGACAAGGTAGGTGAGTTAATCTTTTCCTTTTCACCAACAGAAGTTGATCTAATAAAAAATATTACCTCACCCACCCTGTCTCCTGGGACCAGATAGCTATGCCAACTCCCCATGTCTATCACTGGACCTGGCTTACTTTTGGTGGTAGACACATGACCCACCAGTTGATATGATAAATACTTAGGTAATCATTTTTAAGATGTAAGGAAGTAAATCATTGAAGTTGTTTATAAATGCCACATATCTACCAAACGAGTGTGTTACGTATTAACTACAGCCTAGACCTCAATGAGGTTTCTTCGAGGGAACATGTACGGTGCAACTGCTAGTGCCGACTATAAATACTGAAAGCTACCTGGGCATTAGGGAATAATAATTAGTGGGAAGAAATGCTTAGATATGTGAACTGCTTCAAAGTACTTCACACTTCCCTTCTTTTAAAATTGAAAAGGTATACTTCGACCAGAAGTGCATTAATGCATCTCCTGTACAAGTATATAAACTGTGAAGCACTCCATCTTAATTGCAGAAGTGGAGAAACCTGTTCTGATGGTTGGGGTGGCTATTTTATTTAAATAAAAAGCCTAAATCTATATATTTAATGGTTCTAGCTTGACTTTATTTCCCAGCCTCAGGCAGAGATAATGGAACCATCACCCTTTACATACTATCTTGACTACCTCGCTATACACTTTAGAAAAAAAATTGGAAAGAGCCTGTTAGCTGCAGTGATGACCAAACATAGCATATACGTAGGGTAGTTCCAAAAGTGCCTTCAACCTGGTAGTCTAGCTGTGTGGCTGGTGCTGTGCTGGGCGTACAGATTATTCTCCTTGCTTAACAATCTGAAAGAAGAGCGAGAAGCAGGGGTTGGGCGCACAGACGTTTTCCTACATGCTTGAGAACTTAGTCTGAGTGAAAAATAGCTGTGTCCAAAACATTACACAATTTCCTTTAGTGCATCTTCACACGTCCCTCTCCATCTCCTCTAGCCCCAACAGGAGTGAAGGAATATAACAACCATAATCAGTGCTGTGATGTTATACAGGAGCTTATCCTCAGTTGAATCAAATAGACTGGTGTGTACACATGCCCCTTGGGGAGAGCAGAGCTGGTATTTCTGTGCATAGCCGGTGATGGGCTGGATATCATAGAGAAATGCTTGAAATGGGGCTTAGGGATGGAGGTGCAGCACCTATTGTTAACCTGCAAAAACAAGTGAGAGCTAGCATTGCCCAGAGGAGATTGTTTGGGTGGCTAACAGACTGAAGGTGGCATGGAGCTGACACCCAGTTAAGCACCAGCAAGTGTCTCTCTCTATCTCTCTCTCTCTCTCTCTCTCTGGAGGCATGGGATAACAAGCTGACTCTCAGTCCTAGGCAGCCCGGGAAGTGTCCATTATCTATGCTGCTTAATGCATTAGAAGGCAACTAGATAGCACAGTGAGGGCCTCAGTATAAGAACCTGAGTAGATACAGCCTCCGTCCCAACAGTTCTGTCCCCACCTCCCACAAATAAATTCTGCACTGTCAATAATCCGTTCCATCCTTCTGAATAAATCTCTTTTGACCCTCAAACCAAATCACTCAATTCTGCCTCTGCACAATTATATTTACATTCACACACTTCAAAGCATCTCACCTACTCTCCTTGCCTCCCTCCTGGATAGCCAGGGGGCCCTTGGCTCCCAGTTCCTCCTCTCCACCATTGAAATCAATGGGACATGTGCCTGCTTTATATTAGGTCTGAATTCAGCCCTGATGTTTTCTTTATGCCCAGTTCTGTACTAACCAGCCTACTGGCAAGTAGCTGCTGCACATATATCTAACCCAATTCCCATTGTTGTCTGTCATTATTTGTTTATAACATGTTTTACCAGGAAAATTTCAATGCAATATAAATATCTTGTTTCCATGAGTGTCATGAGGACGTAAAAACAATACAGCAGAGGTTACAGACACTGTCAGGCATCCAAAACAACAGTTTGGGTTAAAAGACCCATGGCTCAAAGAATGGAACCATTTTCTTTAATGTTTGCCTTAACTCAGGCTATGGCCAGGTCACAGCTGCTGCACATGATAGTGCAGCAAAATTGCCAGCAAGTTTCCTTTTGTGTGACAGCCAAAGTTTGCAATTAAGCCAAACACTACAAACCTTGTCCGATAATGAGAACATTGATATTGTGCATACAAACATGGGTAATGTGCATTCCTATGCTATTTCCTTTGTTATATCAGTGGGCAAGCAGTGTGTGTAGAGACTTGTATCTAGAATTATTACCCTTTCCAGTTCATTCTATTTAATGTTTGTCATCTAGCAGTAACTGGGTTATTAATACTGTGAGATTAGTCGTGCATTTTTTTTTTTACCTCACTCAGCAAATACAACTGTGTAAACAGGAACCTGATGGACGGAAACAACATTTCTGTTTTCAAAACCGTTTTTTTTCCCCCCAATAAGGTGGTCCGTTTTATAGTTTGTACACACAGTACAGGTTTTCATAAACCCAGGTGCAGCTTCAGTATTCTGTTTTCAGCTAACAGAAATGTGTGTGTTTGAAAGTTATTAAAATCCCCAAATGCCCCAGGGTTACAGTGGTGTAAACAAAACTTGGGCTGCAGAGCTTTTTGCCCTGGGACTAAGCCAAGCCCTTCACATGTGCTGGCAGAAAACCCACTCAGTATCCTTCAGACCAAAGGGAAAAGTAGTAAACAATCCCATCAATCACTAGGAACTGCTAAGCACTCAGATGCGTAAGTTTCAACCACCAGTATAGAGACACATTGATAAATTGCAATCCATCATCCTCCCCCAAATACACACAAAGACTCTCATTTAGCTATGTAGCATGGCAGAAATATGTAGCAGGGGCTAGTGCTAAGTATGAAGAAAGGGTAGGCTGATGGATTTCTTTTAAAAAGACAGAGTACATAAAGCACTTTTTGGCAACAACCTCCAAGACTCTTTATTTATTTTATTTACTAAGCTGTAAGGACTGCAGGCTTTGCTCCAGTGAGCCAGCAGTGGAGAAAGAAAG